CATGGCACCAAAAGTACGCCAGTCAAATCTACAGAAAAGCTTTTATTCTCTACAAAAACGTTCAAACGGACATCCCCTCGACCAATGTACTCAACTTTCTCTCCATCCGCAATAGTGACAGTTCCACAATATTTTTCGTCTAATCTACTGAAAAATGATTTACTGTATGTCATGTGAGAGGAGGCTCCTGAGTCAATACACCACTGAAAATCCTTGGGATTAATACAATTGTTATACCATGGTTTTTTGTTTTTTTTTTTTTTTTATTTTTTTTCTTTTTTTTTATTTTTTTTTTTTTTTTTTTTGTATTTAATTAAGTTTTTATTATTATATTTTTTTTTTGGTCTTTTTGCTAATTTTTTTTTGACCGCATCTCAATAGTTCAAACTTAACTCATGTCATATCAATAATCACATTTCATTTTTACATTTGATTTAAAACCGACGAGGTTAACATCAAGATAAATTCAGTTTGTTCCGACGTATATCATTAATTAAATAAAGGATTATTATTATTATTATACCATGGTCCATATTTTGCCATCTTGGCACTCTCAGCTTTATTAGATTTCTTCACGTCAGACTTTGACATCAACATTGGACAATTTCGCTTCATGTGGCCTTTCTGCTTGCAGTAGAAACACTCAATAGCTTCCTTCACATCAATCTTGAATAGTTGACTGCTAATCTTGCTTGTAGCATCCAAGTCTTTGCTCAAATTCTCACTTCGTCGTTCATATTCATCAAGAAGCTTCAACTTGACACTTTGTATCGTTAGTTCCTTTTCTTTCCATGATTCGAGAGCAGTTGCCAAACTTTCATATTTAGAATTCAAGCTTTACAACCATCGTATTTTCTAATTTGTCTCCACAATCTTTAATTTTGAACAATCGCAAGCATGTCTTGAATGTGCTTCTGCATGTCACCACCAATTGGCAATTCTGACTTGAACAACTTCTTGGGAGCGTAGGTTCAGGTCCTACCAACTGCGCCAGTTAAGGATGAAAACTCTGGAAGAGAGGGTAGTGAAAATGTCTGAACTGTTTGGATGGGAAAATAAGACTGACTAACTTTATTTGTCATTTCTTTTACAAGTTAATGTTTTGTTATTTATGTTTAAGTTAATGTTTATTGTTTTTATACTTATTGTTTATTGTAACTTTGTAACTGCATAGCCTTGTAACTGCATAACTCTGTAACTGCATAACTTAGAGTCGCAGTTTGTGGCCAATAAATTCATTTAAATGAAACTTTTTCAAAGCCTCCCATGCATCTTTCCCATCTCTTGAATCAGCAATATGAACAAGTTGATCATTGTCAACCATGAGAGCGATATTAGATAGTGCCTTTAATCCTTTTGTCTCATCTTCCTTCTTCTTCGAGTTGTTCAATCGCTCAAACGGGCTCAAACATCACCAGACTTTTACTTTGACCTTCCATCGCGTTAAGGCCCATAACCTCTTGGATAATTCTATAGAATAATAGATTTATTTACGATAAACTTTTAAACACAACTTTCTTTAATGAAATCTTTTAACAGAATAACTTTGCAATCAAAATCTGATTGCTTTGATCAATAGAGAATTCAATAATTCAATAAAAACTCATTCCATATTTTAGCTAAATGCAGCATAATTTTAATGCATTGCTGATAAAACATTAAATGTTGAACAATAAGTCTTAATGAGTCGAAAGAAGTGTTGAATAAATATCTGATGCACAATGATTTCAGATTTTTAAAAAATATTCAAAATTTTAAAAAAAAACATGTTAAAATTATACTATGTATTTTTAGCGCATTTTTGAAACTTGTTTCGAAAAGGTAGCTTAATAATACGCTTTGTTCGGCTTCTCGGCTGTTCGGCTGCTCGGGGCACGTTAAACACTTTGCAACCAGACATCGTAGAGAGCTCGGATTTGTTTTATTAGCTCAGTTCTATCGAGTTATTGGCCGATCGAATATTTTTAAAGCATAAAACAATGGCGTTGTGCTATAATTAATGATTTCTTTTATTTCAGTACTTTGCAACCTGTTCAAATTTTATTTTACCTCTATAATTTCAACATTACCTCTATAATTTCAAATATTTTTTGACCGTTAGAAAATTTGAATTACAAAAAATCGCTAAAATCCTTTCTTTATGGAAATTAAATGAAACAAATTGTTAATTATACTATAATGCTTTTGAAGCGCAACTTTTAATGGAAAAATTTTTCAAATATTCATTGACCGTCAGAAAATTTGAATTTCAAAAAGCAGTTAAATGATAAAGCCTTTCAATATGGAAATTCTTTGTAATTATTTGTTAACTACACTAAAATGAATGATCTTCTGATATTCTAATGATCTGTAAATGAACGCCAAATGATTAGATAATCAAATACTGATCGCTAACACAAAAATGCGCTTAAGTCCCTCGATCAATAACACCAGGACTTCTGTAATTTTTTTAAATACTAGATGAAAGAACGTCATTTGTTTTTTGTCCTGACGAAAAATCTCGTAACAAATTGTTGTCTATCTCACAAAACTTTGATTCGAAGATGACAAAGAATTTGTTTACAAAATGACAACATTTATTTTTCCTACATTTTTTCATCTTTCTGCTCCTTTTCCTGTGTTAATGCCTAAAGTTTGCTTAGCTACGTAAAGTTCTTTGCAATTTTGTACCAGTTTCTGAACCGAATCTAATCCCGGGTTTGAACCCGGGATCAACAATTTCCAATACCGTAATCTCGGGATTGAAATTTCGGGCCGGTATTGAAATCCCTAGGTATATCAATTCAAAGTACTTAGCCACAATTTGTGTTATCGTGATTCACACAAACCGAGCTGCAATGACTAAGAAAGCAGATAAGCATCCAAAAGCCGACTAGAAATTCCCTGGGATCGAACCAGGGTTGTTAGGGTTGTCCAAACTTTTTTGAGCAGGGTGCACTGAACTCAAGAAAACTTTTCACGGCACACAGCTAAGACAACACTGCTCTAATCACTATGCCACTGCTGCTTAAGAATATTTATTGTTAAGGTTAAAATTGAAGCGCTTAAAGGTTCTAGAAACACTGATTAAGATGAAATAAATAAATTAATTATGATACGAAAAGGTTGCGTAAAGGTGAATTTTGCTGTGATAAATATTTGGGAAACAATTTCAGATTCACTTAATTATTGATCACAAATTTATTTTCAAAAAATTTATATAAAATAGAGCCAATATTATTATTTTTAAACAATGTTATCAAACTTTTATGCATACTTTTTATATAAATATAAAAACGTATACATATTTACTATATAGTGCAGTAATTAATTTTCTCAATAGTATTATTCATGACTGAAATACGACAAAATATTTAATCAACGATCATAAAAATGCTTTGTTCTATTAATTGAAGACCTCTCTTTTAGTGATGAAAAATGTTGATAAAAGTTTTAATTGTTTTATTAGAAATATAAAAGGCGCATGAATGTATGTGTATTGACAGGTTAAAATCATCGATTTTTTTGTTCTTCTTTATCTATCCATTATTATACCTGCGTGTTTGCACAATTATTATTTTTATTTCCCATTCTCCTGTTTTCGTTTGAAAGATCTAACTTAATATCTTGAAAGATTAGTTCAAGTTAATTTTAAGGGAGGTAAAATAGTGACATTTAATATAAAATGTTACACATAAAATGCGTGCCAACAATTAAGCAGGTGAATTGTAAATTGCTCTCACATTTTCTATAATTTTGTAATGTTTAAGGAAATGATAATGATATAAAGTATGATTTCTCGTGTAAGAATTTAGTATAATTATCCAAACATCCTGGGAGTATTAATGATATTTTATTTTCTATGGAAGAAATAATTTGCCGATTAAAGTTCAATCAGTTATCAAATAAATTCTATTGAAAAGTATTATATGGAATTAGATTATTCTTCTTAAAAAATCTTTTAATCACGCAACAAAATTCATAATGTGTTTGGATTTAACTTTAAACTATTTCTAAAAACAAAATTTCCATTCGGCTTTAGCTTCAAGCTTAAATATTTTTACCAATTGCATTGGTATTAATGGAATGTTAATCTAAAAGATTTAAGAAACCGACTCTGAATAAGTATTCAAAACACAATTTTCATGCATTGATGAAATTATTAAAATTTATTGGAGTATTCTAAGATTTTTTGGTTTCAAAATGCGAATACCTATGTGTATTAGTTTGAAAATGATTTAATTTTTAATTTGTTTTTATTAAATTATAAATCAATATTTTCATACTTTTTAATGCCCAACTTATTTTAAAATATCATAATTGACTGGTTTCAATTGATTTCTATTACACTTAAATATTTTTTAAGTCAACCCTCATTTGATTGGTTGAATAAAAATACTACCGCCTTTTTTTCATTATTCTTCATATTATTCCAACAAGTAAGTATATATCAGTATATATCATTTTGATAGGTTTTAACTGGCACACTTTCTTAATACCAATAAGAATACATAAACAGGATTAAGGGTATTCCTATATATATATGTTCAAATTATATAAATCGAGTTATTAGGGGAAATATAAGTAATTTACTAGAAATTTGAAAACACAATTCTTTTAAGTAAAAATTTATTTTACATTACATCTTTTTTGCTGAGCCTCAATACATGCCTGATCTTTTAGAACGGCTTTTAAACTAACCATACTATAGTCGTAATGCTTTCGGTTGTGTGGCATGAAAAAAATACTTTATTCTTTATGCTATGCATTATATTAGGTAGCGTATATAAAATTGTGTATACACATGATATTTTTTGTTCCGCCTTTTTCCGATTTTTTCTCGCTCTTTCACACAGTTTAAAAGTTGTTCTGCTTACTGTTGGTTTATTATTTTATTTTCACAGTTTTGATCGAAAGTTGCAACATCAAAAAGCATAACGTCTTTCGTTCTTTAAATAATTTTTCAGTAAAAATTAGAAGACTTTATAATTATAATATAAATGATCTTAGTGTAAAAAAAGATAGTTTAACAGTTATTTATTTATTCATTCATTTTACAAACATTTCTAATGTATATTTCAAGTGATATAATTTTTTAATACATAATAAAAATATATATTGCCAAACAATAAAATATTGGATAAAAAAAGCATTCATTAAATAAAATATAAATTTAACAGGTATGTCTTTATAATTATGTGTGAAATAATCAATGAAATTTGCATAATGTGAAATGGTAAAAAATTAAAAATCATGTTGAGAAATTAAACCATGTCTTGCTAACATGCACATTATACAGCCCATTTAATGTGTCGTTTTCATAGGTATTCTAAAAAATTTCAACACTATAAAATAAAAGCCACTTTACACGCTATGTTTTTAAAGAATAAAAATTTCAAGCGTAGGGAAAATAAAAAATCACGTGTATCTTTTTTTTTAATTTAAACTTTATATTAATTATGAATTTTTAATTTGTTGAACAAAATAATCGTAGCCCTTTTGTATCATTTTTGTTTTTAAAAATGTCTTCTTAAACAAAAACTGTATCGTTAAAAAGCAGAAGTTTCAACGATTTTAGGAAATGGTCCATTAATGAATGTCATTATCATAAAACGTTTGTCATTAAAATTTTTATCTTGTAGGTATATATTTTATTACTGCTTCTAGTCTAATGGTTGTTTATTTTATTAAATAGTTTATATTGTATGTGCGTTTGCGATACAAAAGCCTTAAACAAAAATCTAAACTAATTTTCAAAAATAAATTTAATTATTTTATATTTTTATTCGATTAAGAAAATTATTAAGCAAAACATAACAAGAAGCTTTATTTTAATCATATCAATATTTAATCATAATATCAAAAATTTAATGATACTCCAATGGATAATGACCACACAAAATGATCACATTTTTAAGATTTCACATGACACAAGCTTTAAAATATTCTTTTTTACGACACAAAATGTATGAAATTATGAGAATGAAACAGAAGTCATTAACTTCACTGAATCTGCAGAAACAAAAATTAAAGAAAAAAAAAAACAAATTGATTATAAATTCTTAACAATTTTTTTTAGCTATCATGTCATGGTTTCTTCATGTATCAATTAAGATCAACGAGATAAGATTTAGATGAATATATATTTGCATATATAGTTATTTTTTTTAACAAAGTCAAGGAGAATATTCTTGAACAGAAAAAAAAAAAATCATAAACCATAAATAAATTAGTGTGTGGTAAGAGTAATAAAAAGGTGTTAAAATTTATGAATATATTGAAAATTCAAATACAATTTCATTTCATGCACTCTTCAATTATCCAACAATGAAAATTGATGTAGGTCTTTATTTTTTTCCCGAGTTTCTTTCTGCTTTATTCTTCATAAGAAACTTAACACTGGCTTGAAAAATTTGCAATAAGAAGAAAAAATTACAAAAGTCCTCGTGTTATTGATCGAGGGATTTCAGCGCATTTTTAAGGCGAATTAAATAGCAAAAAAGTATAAATTTACCTTTAGAAGCATTTGAACTCATTACATGCTGTATTTGCCAAATTTTATGAATTACGTACAAAATTATGCGTAATTTAAAACGAATGTAAGTTAATATAATTAACTCAGTAGAGCAAAAAATTCAATTGAATTCATATTTTTAATTTTTTAACAATTAACGGTTTTTAAATTCAAAAATTAACGATCTTTCAAAATTTCAAAATTATAGAGGTAGTCAAAAAATTTGAACAATTTACACTATATTAAGAAAAATTTCGAGCTCTGAATAAAACAAATCCGAAGTCTCTACGATGTCTATTAAAAAGTTTTTCTTGCCCCGAGCGAACACCCGAACAAAGTGAACTATTAAGCTACCTTTTAGAGAACAAGTTTTCAAAAATGCGCTTAAAAGTGGATGAACAAAAAAGAAGAAAAGAGAATTGAATTATAATAAAATTTAATAAGCGTGAAAATTACGATAATTTTTTTAAACTACTTTATTAAATTCCGAGAATTCTCGCTATGCTGTGAATACATGACTAATTTGACATGATCCATCATCCCACACAATATAATGAAAAAATAATAATGATCATTTGAACGAGATATCATACTGTTTAATTAGGTAGGTTATCGTTTACTCTTTACATTTTTTTAAGGGTGGAAAAAGGTGGTCTAGGATTTTGTAACAAGCGAGGTAGGGTGTTCTAAAAAGATTTTTTTTGCGTAACGTAGTAAGTGAACGAGCTCTGGTAAAAATATCTGTAAAAATTGGTAAAAAAATGTAGAAAATTTCTAAAATCCTAGAATGCATGTATAAGCCATGCATTTATTAGGATTTTAATCATGTTAAAAATTTTCAAAATCTTTAAAAAATTTGATGTTAAGTTCATTGCTAATTATGAATTGTTTCGCATTAGCTAGCTTATACTTTGTAATAATGTGTTTATCAAATAATGATCGCAGTGGCAAAAATGCTTTGAATCACTCGATGATACTAGATGGTATCCATCTATATCGAATATTCTGTTGTTGCTTCAATTCGCATAAACCATGTTGAAGAGGCATAAAAAAAAAATTTAATTGAATCAGAGTTCCAACTTATGAAACTCTATTTAAAAAATAGTTTTGTAAATCGGAGTAAGATTGTTAAATTTATTTTCGGCAAGACTTCCGCAGATTGTAATCTTTAAATAATCCCATACAAAGATAATAATTTTTTTTAAAGATTATAATCTTCATACAAAGATAATAACTTTAGTTTTTAAAAGATTATAATATGCGGGAACCATGATTTTCGATGAATTGTAAAATCTAAAGCTAATTAATGCATCTTAAATGTTTAAACTGTAACTGAATGCAGAAGAAAAGATTATAATAAAAGTACTTCAAAAAAAAAAAAATTGGAAACTTAAGACATTTGTGATGAAAAGAAAACTAGCTGGTCAAACATATAAAAAATGATACATCACTCAGCTCTGAAAAATGCAATAAAAGTTTAAATTATAATTAACAGCTTAAACAAAACCAATAATGACTTGAGTGAAAACCAAAACAGATTTAAAACATTTTGACTTAGTAAAACACACAAAGGCATTGACTGCATCACAGCAAGACATAAACAGCTTCTGAACGATCAGTTTCATTGGATAAATCAATTTCTGAAATTTTTAAATGTCTTATCGTTTTCAATGAAACACTGAATTTTAATGGTTATTAAAATTAATTAAATAAAACTGCTGAAAACTGTTTTATTTTTATGATTAAGATACATCGTATGAGTTGTTCATAAGAAATTGAGAATTAATTTTTATTCAACATTTAACGATTTTTTTGTTCTTCACATTTTTTATTGTTTCCTTTCTTTTTTGGATCAGGCTTATTCACTCGATTATCTCGCGGTAATGAAGCTAAAATAATTGTAACGAGATATTTTTTTGTATTTTTTATTCTAAATTTTTTCATGGATATGAATGACACTTTAGTAGTTCTTAATTTAACTTAAATCTTTAAACTTTTCTAAAAAAAATTTTATCCATTCATTTTTAAGCGATGTGGAATATGTTTGAATATTCAATTAAAAGCATTAATAAAAATTTAAAATGAATTAAATCGTCAATTATCCAGAAATTTTGATAAATTAACTCTCACAGGAAGCATTAAGATTTAGATAGGAAAGTTGCAATCAATATTAGATGTTTTGGAAGTGATTAACGATCTATAAAAATATAAAAATCAAATCTTAAAGCAACAATGTGTCTTAATTTTTTGTCTAAAGATCTTTGAATATAAAGATAAAAAATTGCATGTTTGGAGGTAAATGGACACCGTGGATAAAAAAATCCTACGTGAATGACTACGTTTTTATTAATTTTCTCTAAATTTACAATGGTTAAATATTTAAGAGTTATTTTTTCTGATAGAGGAAAAAATTTCCCATCTTTTGACATTTTCAGAAAATCACTTTAATAAAGCGTCAGTCACGAATAATTTTTGGGTATTTTGCTATATCGCGATTCTCTACATTTGTTTCAAATAAATTAAAACTAGTGTCGCGATACACTATCATAATTGATAAAAAAAATTATCAATAATTTAAATCAGAATTTTATTCTCTTTTGTTCTTTTTTTTGGCTTCAAAAAACTTAATAAATTGAACAGGAAACATACTAAAATAAATATAAAAATAAGCTAAAGTTTTCTTTTTAAATTTTTTTGAATTTTTTGAGTGGTGAGTTGTTTATTTATAAACAAAAATGAAAATGAAATTGAAAAATCATGAAAATACCAATCAATACTAATGTTAAAACTTTTATAATATGTAGAATAGCTAGAGCGATTCTCCAGACCGATGGATGATTTTTTTTAAATTGAGTTTTTAATCCAATGTTAATCATCATAAAAATATTTTCTGCAATATGGGCAATTCCACGGATGGATGGAATTCAAAGTTTATGATCCATGTTCTTTAGAATATTTATTCTTTAAAAAACCTAATTTAACTTATTTAAAACTTCGTGAAATCTAAATTTAAAAATGTATGTGTCCGTATTCTTCTATAAACAACATTCTAATCAGAGAAAGTATAATTCAATTTTTGCATTTTTCAGCTTAATGAGGTTGTTATAAGTGAAATAAAGTAGCCAGGATCATAAAATATGACTGAATGTGCATGAATTGAGTTATCAATAGTTGTCTAGATGTTCAGAAAGAGAAATGTTTCGTCAATTCAATTAAGCATTCTATTTTATGTAACGGACCAACACTAGCAAAAATGCGAAATATTTCGTTAATTAAAGCATATAAAAGAAAAATGTAACAACATATGGGAAGAGTTCAGCGCTTCACATAAGTATAGATAGCCATTGAAGCATCTTGATAGCTGAATATTGAGAAAAATTTATTCTAACACGAAATTTTTGGACAAATCTATCTGTGGAAATGCCCATATCTTTCAATCTTAAAATTCAATATCATCTAGCATAATTTACTGCTATCGATAATAATGAACTATTTCTTTTTGTAATTTTCTCGTGAATTATGAAAATAAAAGGTAAAGCGTTGCACTATTTAATGGTCAATTCTCCAGATGCTTAAATTTTTTAATGTCAGCAAAAAAATCCACCGAAGAATCGAAAATTCTCTTTAAATAGTAATTATCAGAGTGTGATTTGATTATGATAAATAGATAGAAAAATGAGCTTAAATACCACACTTCTGCATAATCAAAATAAAAAATTTTCTTCAATTTTCGATTAACCGGATGATTATTCCATTTTTGCTGACGGTAATTTTGGCAAAAAATTAAAATAACTTAATTAATGGTTACTTTCAAAGACTAAAACAGATAAAATAAATTTGTTTTTGCCATTTTACGTCGATTTAAATGTAAAAGTTATACTTGGAATGGAAAATTTTCGAGAAAAATTAATTCTTCGGATGATTTTTTTGAAAAACTAATCCAAAGAATTGCCCCATAATTAAGAAATCTAGTCGTTCCAACGACTTATGTAAAGCGCCGAGATCTATCTTTTGGATATTATTGATGTCTTCTATATGCTTTAATTTAGAAATTATTTGTTTTTTTCGTGAGTGTTGCACTATTTCAAAATATGGAATTCTGATTTGAAATTAGAATTTTGTCGCTTTTTAGACATCTAGACAGCTTCTGAATGTTGTTTTCTTGTAGATTCTGACTTTTTTTATAATTCTGCGTATTATAATAATCTTAAAAATTACTCATTAAGTGGAAAAATGAAAATTTATGGAGCATTAAATGAAATAGTGCAACGCTTAAGCTTTTATTTTCCTAAACCGTGTGAAAATAATTATTTAAACAGCCAATCAACTGTATCTTTATTTAGAATGCTTTTAATGAGAATACAGAGCCAAAACATTTCAAGAAATAATTTCTTTAAAGAACATGGATCAAAAAAGCTCTTTTTATAAAATTCCACTCATCTGTAGAAATGAGATATGCCCAAATACACTGTTTAAAGACTTTTAACTATCCAGGATGCTATAACTCGATAGAACTGAGCTATTAAAACAAACCCGAGCTCTCTACGATGTCTAGTTGATGATCTCAGATCTAAATTTTGCGGTTGCCGAACGAACAAAGTGCATTATTAAGCTCGCTTTACGAAAAAAATTTAAAAATCGCCCAAAAAGGGAGAAGACGACCAAAACCTAGCAACACCCCTGACTCTGGCATTTTTCATATTTTGCGAAGAAAAACCTTTTTTTTTGTTATATACTTTATTATGTTTATGCTATTTATTTTTTATCATTTAAAATTGCTGAGTTATTTACCTCAATCTAATAATCCCTATAATGCAGCTACCCTAAAATGCAGATAGTACTTTACAAAGGTATAATGGAGATGATTTTTATCGTATAAAGTGCAGATAAGATGCTGCCCAAATGGAGATCGTATAGTTTTATTAAACTACATCATATCCCTAATTGGCAAAGAGCACAGAAAGAGCACACTCTAATTTTTGCTGAGTGTACTCTAAAAAGTATGCTCTTTCATACAAAAGTTTGTGCCACTACTTTACGCCTAAAAGTGGACTCACCTGAGCGTACTCACTCAGTTATACTTTGAGCACACGCTTGAAATAAAACATTTTTTTATGTGTCATGTCACATGTGACACACTTTATGCTCAATTAAGCACATAAAACATATGCTCAAATGAGCATACTTAGTTTGACATACTTTTAATATACTCATAAAAGTACATATTAATCTGACTATTGATGTACTCAAAAGAGTATACTTGAGTGTACTTTAAAGGACGTAATAAATAAAAATTATTATTTTTTGAAACTTATTTTATTATTATTTTACATAATTAATGCGTCCTTTTTTATTTTGCTGTTTAATTTTATTAAAAGCTATGAAAGAAAGAAAGAAAGAAGAAATGATTAATGAAAATTTTATAAATCTTACCGGGATTCGAACCTCTGACCGCTGTGTTCTTAGATAAATTCTGCGTTGCTACCTCTACTCCACCGAATTGTGTTACCTTATGTAAAATTTTTGGCAAATAACACATTTAACTTCAATTTTAAAATTTAAATGACGCTATTGCTTGCGTTTTGTCCGACCGTCTGAAAGGAAGGTTAATTAAATTAACTTTTTCTGAAATTTTACCTTACGTTTTACGTACGTATTTTTTACGTAGCCCTTAAAAAGGTGAATTTTCTCACAACTCATTGGTCACGGGTTCAGGCCTTACCGTGAGTAACTGTTTTTTATTCTTTTTTACACTTTTTTGATAGATCATGATGTTTTATGATAAATTTTTCCATTTTCATATTTTTCCACGCGTTTTCCGAGGTTTTCACGGAGTTATTCACTTTTTTCCATACATTTTTCATACCAAATTATTTTATTGCCATAATTTTGTATCTTTTAAACTTTTAATCTGAAATTTGGCATGTAGGTTAAGTGGTTGTTCCTGAATATATAACCGACGCCATTTTGGATTCAAATGGTTGGAAACCTAATACAAACTGTAATCCTTTTGTAACATTAATCTTATATGTAGAGATAGTTTAAAATCCTCAGGGGGGGGGGGGGGGTGAAAGCAAAAATTGCTAAGAACTAGTGTATCGGGTAGAAAAATCCCAAGTTATGCATAAATTTGAAGGTATGAAGCTAGCGCGTCAGCTGAGCTTCGCTCAGCATATGTTTAAAGCTTAACGAACATTCTTTAAAAGATTTTTAAAATTTTTTTTTTCATCCAAAGTTTAATTTTATAAAAATCACAGTGAACTTTTGTTTTGAAAAATTCGTAAGAAAGGAAATTTGTTTGCTTTTTCTGAAGCAACGGCTGTTCCTACCTTGCTCAAAAACAACTCTCAGTTCTTTTATAGAGCAGCACGGTTCAAATGTATAAAACTAGAAGTCTCTACGAGGTCTCGTTATTGAGATTTCTTGCTGATTTACTCGCTTACTTGCTTGTTTGCTTATAGAAAGCATATTTTGCGATTTTCTCAGCAATGCTGCAACCAATTTGAAATCTGATTTTTGCAAAAGATGTAAAATTTCAGGCACAAACTTTTCTTTTTCGACCTTTTATAACCAATTTTGCTTCGATTTTTCACAAAATGCGAAAAACTGATTTTTCAATCTGAACAAAACCAATAGATTCACACGTGAAAACGGTGTGAATATAAAAAATACAAATGTAGATATATCAATGAAAGTTGGCAAAGTTATAACAAAATTCACAAAAATTATTCGTGAGTGACGCATATTTAAAGTGATTTTCCGACATAACTCCTTAACTTTAGGAATTTAGTTCTATGTCAAAAGAAAGCGATTTTTGTTTTCTACAAGATAAAATAACTTTGAAATTTGTCACTATTGTAGTTTCGGAGATGTTTAAGAAACCAACGCGTCACTCACGAATAATTTTATTTTTCGTCGGGGCCCAAATAATTAATATTCAATGTTAAATTTTCTACATTATAACAGCATTTCATCTTTATTTTAATAAAATTATACGATCTACATTTGGGCAGCATCTTATCTGCACTTTATCAATAAAAATCATCTGCATTATAACTTTTTTAAAGCAGCAGCATTTCACCTGCATTTTAGGGAAAATAAATTTCATCTACACTTCAGCAGTACCATCTGCATCTTGGCAGTACTATCTGCATATTAGGGTAGCTGCATTTTAGGGATTTTTAGATTGAGGTGAGTTATTTGTAATATTTATTATTATTTGACTTATATTTTTTAACAAAATAGTTACCACGTTTATGTTAATTAATTATTAATGAACAACATCAATCAAATTAAATAGTTTATAGAAATTAAAAAATATTTTTGTTTAACGGTGAAATAATGGTTAAAGGAAGAAATTTGATGTCGCCAAAATGTATTTAGTAAATTCACTTTACATCTTTATTACGGATAACTACACTAATATAATTCAAAACTAAGAATGAAGAAATAGCATGATGTTACAAGTATTATTGAGGGATAAAAAAAAATTATGAAAATGTTAATGCTAATATTATGTAACAAAAAGGCGTTAATTAATAAAATTATAATATTGTCCCTGTTGTTGTCCTTAAATTTATTAACAGTGAGACTTAAAGATAGAACAGAAAAATTACAACTATGATTTATACTTGATTCTAATTTACACCAAACTTTTTCAAATTTACATTTATGTATAAAGGTCATTCAAGTTAAGCAAAAAGCAGCGAAACCAACTTCTTATGTTTTATATTAAACGGCCGACAAACGAAATAGTGTTCTGAAACGGAATATAAAGCTTCTTAATCGTGATTTCAAATTCCTTATTTAATTAGAAATGTTAATAGACTTGGCTATTATTGAAATTTAACCCAAGAAACCATGATATCCGAATCTTGTGCACTATTATGAAATGTTATGAATATGAAATTATATAACTTGAACATAAACTACACATTGTCTTGGCTATTAATTTTTAGAAACTATGTAAATTGTCAAAAAAAATAAGGGTGAATTAATATCTTTGTTTAACCCAAAATTAATGTATACCAAATGACATTTTTAACGCTTAACCGATGAAATGCTTTTTCCTTGATTTTTGATATTCACGGAATTTATTATTGTTCCTAAAAACACATTAATAACGTTAGATTGTTAAAGACTCTTATTATGTAAATTTTATTTTCAAAATTCTAATAACTTTCAGTGTGGAAACTAAAAAATTATTTTATATTTTTCAGAACTGTTAACTTTTAAACCATTCAGCATGCCTCATACAGGTAAATATTACAAAAAAAAACCATTTGAACTAAAATTAAATAATTTTTTTATTTGTTAACACCAAAAAATTTACTCAATGGTTTTTGTATGAGTTTCGTAAAACAAAATTAAAGAAAAATGAGATAAAAATATAAAAAACTTGCAAAGAAATGAATTATATATGAGTTTTGTATTCAGTGTGAAAAAATTCTTGTTTGAAGTGTTTTTCAAATAAAATACAACTTGTAGTAATTTAAAGAATTTTTATGCGTTAACGAATACCGAATTGAATTTTTTACACTTATAAAAATCACGCTTGTTGGTAGCTTGACATAATTTTTTACTTCTTTTTTCTTTGCACCTTTTTTCTTTTTAGTTTTCGCGACTACCTTTTATGAATTTAAAATATTTTTTTTTCTTATATCACTTTAACGCTTCTTTATAAATTTTCATTTTAACTTCATTCTTAAACTGAATAAAAAACTGAATCAATTTTAAAAAATAAGGTTTTCGTATTATTCGACTAGCAAATTGTTCCAATAATCATATTGACGTAAGGAATAAAATTTTGTCACAGTTTCATAGTTTAATAAAGAAATTCGACCTGTTTCGTTGTTAAATCAGATTATTCTCAAGTCACTTGAAACAGCATAGATTGCATCAATATAATTTAAATCGATTCAAAATTATATGAATTGAATTGGAATTTTTCAAAGTTAAAGTTTTCAAAAGTTATAAAAGTGACATTTTTTTGGTTAAATCTGTGTGTCAGCCTTGAAGTCAGCATCTAAGTATTTTTTGAGGGTGAATATTTTTAAGGGTGATTCCACAATTAGGAGGAATTTTGAAAAAATTGACATATTTAAGTCTTTAATGTTGTCGATTTATGAAACTTTAACAATAGATTAATGTGATTAGTAATTCAGTCTACACAGTTGAAAATTTGGCAATGAAAATTAAAGTTTCACTTTTTACTTTCCAAGCAACGCTCACAAAAGTGGAAATATCTCATTAATTTAAAATTAAAAGTTTTGATTCGAACACGAAATTTTTGAAAAATTTTATCTGTGGATTTGCTCAAATATCTATTTAATTAACCAATATTTTAAATAAAGAGCGCATCATTTTGTGATATTAAAATAACTAGACAAGGAAAAAATCAGTTTCGACAATCTTGACAAGTAAACGCTATTAAAACAGAAGAAATCTGATTAATTAATGAATTTACAAATGTTTTCATAATTCAACAAAAATGTCTTTCGTAGATTTGCCCATATATGCAATCAGCAAAAGTTGCGTCTGCTTACCATTAAATATAATTGAGTAAAAAATTATATATAAGAACCAAATAGAGAAGAAAAAAAAATCTTAAGGGCTATCTGCAAAACACAGACTATGACAAAATTCACCTGTCTAATTTTATTAAAGGCATTAGAAGAGACAAACAAAATAACGTGTTTGAGGTCTGCAAAATCTTGCTATTAGGACTTACTACTTGGACTCAAATGAACTAACAGTAAAAGCAATTTTTATTTTATTCTTGTTATTACTGCAAATAATTTTTAAAAAGAATTTGACACTCTGTTTGTTTGTTTGTACCGTGAATTTACGCTCTAAGTGACACTTTTTCAATATATGTTTCAATAAATTCAAAATGATAGCTTTTTAGTATGATTATGTATAACAAGTTGACAATTCTTGAAAAATCTTGCAAAGCAGCTAAAGATTCTTGTGATACATATTTTGCAATTCACTGACTTAACTCTATTCTATTAAGTCCTATGAAGACATGCCTGCCTGTAGCCGAAGGCTGTAAGCTTCATTTCCAGTATTTTTGTTTTTACACGATTTTTTTGTTACATTTTGTTGTTACTTGTAATAATACCAGTCAAACCCCAGAAAAGATACAAATAAGCTTTTAACAAAATGTACATTTCACATTTTTAATTGCAATCTCTGATAAATAAAACAATGTGTGATTTATAGAAAATAAATCCTAAATCAAAATTTGAATTCAAAATTGATTTGAAAAACAAAATTTTTTAAAAAACTTTGTCCATATTTATTAATATTTACAAAAAAACACATGTTGCATTAAATAAATAATAAAATTTTATCGACCTGTGGATCAAATATTTGCTTGAGCTTATTGAACTGTATTTAGTTAACGAAAATAAAGCTATCATTTTATTTACAAAAATTGTCAAATTTAACAAATACGACGATTATCGTTCATTAATTAACTGTTTATCAGATTTATTAAAAACCGAGGCAAGTTGTGAAGAACCAGATATTTTTTAAAACAAAATTATTGTTTTTACAAATCGCTAACCGAAACATTTTTTTCACGGAGAAGTTCATTCTATATTTAATTGGAATCAATTAAGAGAAAAATGTGGTATTATTACCAGAAATTTATTTTAATATAAATACTCATTATTAACCCGTCCTTCGTAAAAAAATAAACCACTTAGTAATCAAATGATGCTGCTTTTAGTATAGTTTGTAGTTGAAATGATTCATACGTAAGATTAAATTATTAAAGACCGTATAATTCATTCACCAGCTACTTCACACATTAGAGTTTAAAAAGATTTAATTTATACTTTATTGGTAAATTGATTTACGAATTTCGGTATTTATTTATTGTTTTCTTTGAAGAACTAGATTTTTATTTAATTAATAAGAACGAGTGATGTTTCTACTTTAATGATGTTTTTATTTCAAAATTTATATTTAATATTTATTCTCGTTTAAATTTTTTTTTTTGTATAGTTCACATCGAATGGCAATTTAAATTTCCAATAACTTCACATCAATGTTAAAATCAGTGGTCTCATGAATAAAACATTTTTAAAGTGTATCAAGTAAAGAGTGAGAATATTTTTTTTTTCTTGTTGCATTAATAAACGAAAATTTTTCATTGGCAATTTAATTTGATTTTGATTAGTCTACCACACGATATTTTTAATAATATTATAATACTATCGGATAATATTCTCAAAAAATAATTATTTCAACTTTTCTCGTAAATCATCTTTACCAAATACTAGATAAAAAAAATTATTTTGTCTTTTTGGGGATTGCAGTAGAATTACAGAAAAGGTTTGAGGGCAAGAATTTAAAATTGAGACAGTAAAACATAATGATAACATGCTGCAACACAGACAAATTACTTGATTTTTCAAATTTCTTGTTATCATGCAAACAAAATTCGATACGCATTAAGTATAATCGCGTCAAAAGAAGAGATTGATAAAACAAAAATAAAAAAATTCTAGAAAAATAAAAATATAGGTCTGTGAGGCGAATTTAAGCGCAAATTATATTTAAGTACAGACTATATATTTTTCTGCTTCCTTCACTACTTATAATCAATTTTTGATTCTTATTTGTTGCATATTCCTTTAAATAAGTTTTGAGACTTAATTTTTTCTAACACAAATAGAATTTTTAAAAAATTACTCGTACTAATGTTCTTTCTTACATTAAGGACAGGCAGGTGTAAATCAACTGGGAGGAGTATTTGTCAACGGACGACCTCTGCCTGACTGTGTCCGTCGGCGAATTGTTGAATTGGCTTTGATGGGCGTTCGACCATGTGACATTTCAAGACAACTTTTAGTCTCGCATGGTAATAATAAAATAAGAAATTTATATACAAAAATACTAAATCATGAAAGTTCCTTTTTCTTCGTCTTAGGTTGTGTTTCAAAAATATTAACCCGGTTTTATGAAACAGGGTCTATAAGACCAGGATCTGTTGGAGGAAGTAAAACAAAGGTTTGAACAATTATTAATTTTATTAATTTCTCTTAATTATTGATTTCGAGTGATTTAAAACAACATCACTTATGTGTAATAATGCAATAATTCAGATAACAAAAATAAATTCCCTGTATTCCTTCATGAGTGTGGTTCTAAGCTTTGTTCGTGTTTATAAACAATTAGTGACCATAGACATAATGTTTCAATGTGGCACATTACCCTCATCAACTTGCTTTACTAGCAACCAACACATTTGTTAATACTTTATTTTCATTTTCATAAAGATAGCTGGTAAATTTGACACATTTATCACTGGCATGTTATCATCATAATGATAAATTATTTACCTTAATTGTAATAGAAGCACAGATTATGAATACAATTTAGTTTTTTGATAACGAGTTATTTAATTTATTCACTTGTAAATTCTCACATCCTTAAAAAGTAATCTGTGTACTAACATCTATCATAAATAATGCTCTTACTTTTTTGTATTTCTATGGTTATTAAACTTTCCACACTAGGCAATGAAAAGCGGAAAATTGCGTGACATTTTACAAATTTTTTATATACGTCGTGTAAAATCGTGTGAACTAATATATTTCATAAGATTTTCACAATTTTTACACTAATAAAAAGACAATTAAATAAAAACAACACAACAAAAATACATTTAAAATATTTTTGCCATATTAAAATTTTCTTTTGATATGCTCTGAACTTTGGGTTTTTGCAGGGGGGGTTTAAGCTAGGAAAATGTGCCTGTAATTACATGTCCTTGCGGGGAAATGGCATCAGTGTCCTAAATGGTAGAGCGTTGGCCTTCTGTGCCAAAGGTACTGGGTTCAATCCAAGACCAAGTCTAATTTTCGAAGCTCTTTTTCCATCTCACCGTTCTAGTTACGAAGCTTGGTTCGTGTGTCGGATGTAGTATTGATGTCTTTGGCATAGAATATGCCTCCTTTGCTACATATACAAGGATATACTAGCATCTAGATGACTTCCTTACGGCATCTTGCGCACACGAATTGTGACTAGGTACATTGCAGGGTACATCAGGTCTTATGACGCACTCGTGTCTTTGCAATGTGCAGAGCTTGCAAGTAGTTCGGATCCCACTATAAAATGTAGGTCTAAAGGGTATGGTAGAATAGATTCTTTACAAATTGATTCGCAGTGCCTCCAGTTGAAGGGATGGGCCCTTCACACATTATTATTATTGCATGTCCTTGAAAACATCATCACTGATTTTCAAGTTTCACTGAAGGTTTTTCTTAAAATGTTTATTTTAGCAAGTAGCTACCCCAACAGTTGTTAAAAAAATTTTACGATTCAAACAAGAGAACCCGTCAATGTTCGCATGGGAAATTAGGTAATAAATTTTATATTATTAATTATCCATATGAATCTTTAGCGTTTAATTTATTAAATCTTAGGGATCAATTATTATCTCAGCGAATATGCGATCCTCAAACTATTCCTTCTGTATCATCTGTGAATCGTATACTAAGAAATGGAGGTTTGTGGACTGATGATGCTCTAACAAACGTTCCAAATAATAACAGTAATGCCAATAATTCATCAGGCTCACAAAACGGTACAGATATTGTTCGTGATCGTCAAATAGCACCCAATCATAGTTCTAAAACTTTACCAACATCCCCAATATATGGAGCTAATGAATTTTTAGCCTCATATCGCTATTCATTAGGATCAAACCATTTAGCTTCAACTCTTCCTAACTCAACAATAACTTCAAACTTATCTGAAAATTCAACAAAACTTGTACAATATGCATCATCAGCAGAATCATGCAAGGCTTCATCTGAATCTTATAACACAAGTTCAATTCCAACAAATGACTCTAATGAAATGGTGCATCCAAGCATGACTCAATACTATAAGCATTGGATATGGAGCAGAAATCTTTTTTGCCCTCAATTGGCAAATTCAAATTATTCATACTCAAATGGAAATCAATTACTTTCTCATAATTTGCACAACAATAACTTTAATAGTCATAATAATAATAATTCTGAGTCCTTAAATTCAAATTCGCCTGGACAAATTACAGAAATAAATAGCGACGATTCTTTAGAAAGTCAAGAAAATGATAAGGTGGGTTCTTTTAAAATCAACATGTTTCATATTTTTATCAAATTCTTTTTTAAACAGGTAAAAAAGAAGACATCACGTAAAAGAAATCCATATTCTATAGAAGAGCTGTTGAAAAAACCAGAGAAGAAAAGGAAGATTAATAATAAGAAAGAAATTTTCGAAACAGTAACGTCGGAAGAAATAAGCGATGAGATTAATTTAAATATAGAAGTTTGTGACTAAATTAGCAAAACAATTAACATATAAATAAAGATAAATTTAAATATTTCAAAAATCTGTTGTTATAATTAACTTAAAAATAAAAAAAAAATATTTTAATTCAATAATTGCATTTTAGGAGTCGTTAACTTACTACGCGGGGATGGGGTGTGAATCAAAAAAGTGTAAGCAAGTAACTCAAATAAGTTTTAAGCTATTGATTATGAAAATTGTATGGTATTAATTTTTTCCTGCTCGTCTTTCAAAATTTATGAGAAACTACTCGAGTAAGTATGAAAATTTAAATTATTAAGCTTTAAGTATGAAAAAAATTACAAAAGTCCTCGTCTTAATTTAAATTTTGTTTACCTAGGACTTTTCCGAGCAGAATAGAATATAGTGACATTCAAGCTTACATTTGTGATATATTTTTTTTTTCTTTGAACAAATCTTGATGTTAATAAGTTAATAAGCGTAACGTGCCTAAAGAATTTGAATCTCTTTATTCTTTTTTAACCATAAACGTGTGGTGAATTTATATTTGTTAAACGGGTCTTGCATTAACAGTCTCTGTTAATTAAAATAAAATAGTTCTATTTTCGCCAATTTTATTCAACAATGACTGGTGAGATAGTTAAAATCATTATTATTTTCAAAAAACTTAGATAATTGAAAGCTGATTTAATTTGAGTAATAAAAGAATAGTCTTTTTGATTTCGTTTTTTCTAAAGTGTTTATAAGTGTTTGTAATAAATCGTTCGATTTAAGCTTGTTATCTCTATATATTTTATTCATATACAAGTGTACTTAAAAACCGGTTTTCAATTGTTCATCCTCTTCTATAGTGTATTTGTGTAATTTTTAAAATGTTTTTTGTTATTTTTGAATCTCTCACAGAAACATCAAAAAATCCATTCAAGTTTTTGGAAAAATCAATTGAAATTGATGGTGAAGTCTTTTATTTTTATGACATTACTCATTTTAATCAACTTTCTAAACTGCCCTTTTCTATAAGAGTTCTTTTGGAATCCGCCATAAGAAATTGTGATAATTTCCATATTAATGAAGGTCACGTAACAACAATTTTAAATTGGGTAAATTGATAAACATGTTCTAATTTAGTAGGTCTTAAAATGGCTTTAAATGATTTTGATTTTTAGGCACAATATAAAGGAGAAACAGCTGTTGATAATCAGGAATATGAAATTCCATTCAAACCTGCCAGAGTTATTCTTCAAGATTTTACTGGCGTCCCAGCAGTAGTTGATTTTGCTGCTATGCGTGATGCTGTTTTAAAGTTGGGCGGAAATCCTGAAAAAATCAATCCAATTTGTCCTTCCGATCTTGTTATTGATCACTCAATTCAGGTTGATTTTTCCAATTCAAACGATGCATTGAAAAAGAATCAGGATTTGGAGTTTGAAAGAAATAAGGAACGGTTTACATTTTTGAAATGGGGTGCAAAAGCATTTAATAATATGATAATCGTTCCACCAGGTCTGTAAAAGATGAAACTATGTCTTGTTAACAAACTAATTTTCTTTGATGAAACTTTCAGGCAGTGGCATCGTTCATCAAGTTAATTTGGAATACCTTGCTCGTGTTGTTTTTGCAGAAAAACAAAATGATGGACGATGTCTTTTGTATCCAGATTCTCTTGTTGGAACTGACTCGCATACAACCATGATAAATGCGTTGGGAATTTTAGGTCATGGCGTTGGTGGTGTTGAGGCTGAAGCTGTTATGCTTGGACAAAGTATTTCATTTCTTTTACCTGAAGTTATTGGATACAAATTAGTCGGAGAGTTAAATCAATACGTAACTTCAACGGATTTAGTTTTAACTATAACCAAAAATTTGCGTCAGTTAGGAGTTGTGGGAAAATTTGTTGAATTTTTTGGTCCTGGAGTATCATTTTTAAGTATCGCAGACAGAGCTACAATATCAAATATGTGCCCTGAATTTGGTGGAACTGTTGGGTATTTTGCAGTTGATAACCGATCTCTTGATTACTTGAGACAAACAAGTAATTATTTACCTATTTGCTATGAAATTTATGTTTCAATTAAAGCTTTTCTCAATTTATAGATCGAAGCGCCAAAAAAATAAAGATTATTGAGCAATACCTAAAAGCAACAAAGCAATTCAGAGATTATAACGATTCCACGCAAGATCCAATGTTTTCTAAAGTAGTATTTTTAAGAAAAATAAGTGGTTTTAAAGAACTTAACTTTATTAAATTTCTAGGTAATAACATTAGATTTATCAACTGTTATTTCATCTTTATCTGGCCCTAAAAGACCTCATGATCGAGTTGCAGTGTCACAAATGAAGCAAGATTTTCAAGATTGTCTTGTAAATAAGGTAAATGGTGTTTCTTTAAATTTCATGCGACAAACATTTGCCCAGTGATGATAAAAATTCACAACACATCAATCTGAACATAGTTTGTCGCACAATGTTTTAATACTTTTTTCACCTTCACATAATTGATGAATTTGATTGTCTAAATTAAAGTACAACTACTGTGATATATTTTTTGAATAACTTAATATCACAGCAGAGTTCCTTTAATTTAAATCAATTTTGACACATGTACCTTTTAGTTGAAATTTTATTGTAAAGTATGAATACGAATGAAAACTAGTAAGGTACGATCGGCTGTGATATAATTTCGTATTCTAATATCACACCGGCAGTTCCTTCCTAGTTCAAACACTCTGAATCTTAGCAAGTAAACTAATTTTTTCGACGTAAGTACCAAAATGTTTACTGCAAGGATGCATTAGCTTTATGAATGTTATATTTTTGTAATCAAAATATATCAATATTTATCATAAACTCAAGCACCAAGCTGTAAACATGGTCATATATCCAAATGTACAATGTTGAATATATTATTTTAGTTTAGGATCGAGTGTTCGGTCTAGTCACTTGAAAAAAGTAAACAGCAACTATCCGTCACTCGTCCTAAACTTATACTTATTTTTTTTTAAAAAAAAATGACGATAAACCACAATGATACTTTCACTTTTAAATCTGTCACGATAATGAAATTAATATTTATGAAAATCTTAATTTATAGGAATTTTTAAAGGGAAAGATCCTCTCGTGAGAGATAAAGAGAGAAAATCAATTTGGTTAATTAGAAGAACTTAGTTTAAAATTTTATTTCAGGTATTATTTTTTCAAAAATTTTTAAAAATTCCTCCTCTTTTTTTAAAGTAATATATGAAGAAAAAATATTTTATTGCACTTTAAAATAGGTAGACGTAGACAAATTAGCAACAAACAAACCTACTTAACGTAAAGCCAATGTAAACTAATTTGATTCTTTTTATTGCATGCTTACATGAAACTTATTTTTTAAACATTTTGATTTGCTCGACAATTTTTAGTTTGATGATGTTTTTTTTTTCATAAAGCTGGGTTCGATGACATTTTTGATAAATAGTTCATCAATTAAAAAAAAAAGCAAAGCATAGAAAAAATTGAAAAAATATTTTGGTTGATAAATTTAATGACGATGTTTTAAATAGATTTAATTAATTTTTTTTTTAAAAATAAAGAAGCAATAATTTTTTTCCATTTATTTATAATTAAAGGTTGGATTCAAAGGTTATGAAATACCTTCTAATGAGTTAAATAATGAAGCATCATTTGTGTGGGAAGATGGAACTGAATACAGAATTAACCATGGTTCTGTTATTATTGCTGCAATTACAAGCTGTACAAATACTTCAAATCCAACTGTTATGCTTGGTGCAGGTCTTTTAGCTCAAAACGCTGTTAAATTAGGTCTTAAAGTAAAGCCATACATTAAAACTTCATTGTCACCTGGTTCAACTGCTGTTGATCATTATTTGAGGGAATCTGGTGTGATTCCTAGTTTAGAAGAACTTGGATTTCATATTGTTGGATATGGATGCATGACATGTAATTTAATTATTTTAATTTTGGTTAAAAATCCGAAACAACGGTTCAAATTTTTTCAAAAGGTATCGGCAACAGTGGACCAATCAATGAAAATATTGCTACAGCAATAGAATCTAAAAAGCTTGTATGCTGCGGAGGTAATGTTAATTAGATTATTATAAATAGTAATTAACAATTAATAATCAATTTATTTGAAGTTTTATCTGGAAACCGTAATTTTGAAGGAAGAATACATCCTTTGACCAGAGCAAACTACTTAGCGTCTCCACTTTTAGTAATAGCATACGCTCTGGCAGGTAAAATAATAAATATTTATTTTTTAATTTTTAAGCTTCAAATAAATATTGAAATTGTAGGAACTGTGGATATTGATTTTGAAAATCAACCAATTGGAATTTCACATGAAGGAAAAAAAGTGTTCTTAAAAGAAATATGGCCAAGTCGAGCTGAAATTCAAGAAGTGGAAAGACAATATATTATTCCGTCAATGTTTCAACAAGTTTATGAAAAAATTCAGTTAGGATCGTCAAACTGGCAATCGCTTGTTGCTCCTACGGGCAAATTATATCCTTGGGATGAAAGTTCTACCTATATTAAACATCCTCCCTTTTTTGATGGAATGACTCGAGATTTACCTGTAAAAGAACCAATAAAAGATGCAAGAGTTTTATTGTTTTTGGGAGACAGCATAACAACGGATCATATTTCTCCAGCTGGATCGATTTCTAGAAATTCTCCTGCAGCGAGATATCTAACAGACAGAGGACTTGCCCCAAAAAATTTCAATTCTTATGGCTCGCGACGAGGCAATGTAAGGTTTAATACTAGGAAATAAAATCATTGATAATAATATTTATTATTATAGGATGCAGTTATGGCCCGTGGAACATTTGCAAATATCCGTTTAGTTAATAAGTTCATGAAATTTCCAGGACCAAAAACAATTTATATACCAACAAATGAAGAAATGGATATTTTTGATTGTGCTGAACGTTATATTCAAGAGAAAACTCCTTTGATTTTACTCGCAGGGAAAGAATATGGAAGTGGTTCATCAAGAGATTGGGCTGCAAAGGGTCCATATTTGTTAGGAATACGTGCAGTAATTGCTGAAAGTTATGAACGCATACATCGTTCAAATCTTGTTGGTATGGGTATATGTCCTTTGCAATACTTATCGGGTCAAAATGCTGAGTCTTTAGGACTAACAGGTTTTGAATCGTTTAATATTTTACTACCTGACAATGTTAGTCCCGGACAGAATATAACTATTGAAACTAGTTCAGGCATTACTTTTGATGTAAAAGTAAGGTTTGATACTGATGTTGAAATTTTATACTACAAAAATGGAGGGATCTTGAATTATATGATACGAAAAATGATTTTTTGAATGATACATGATACCAATTTATTTACTATTTGATATGGGATTTTTTTTTAAATTGTTTAATTTAGAGGGTTCCGTTTTTTAAAACCCAACTTACCCAGTAAAAATCGAACGTAATAAAAGAGAACACCTCAATTGTTATTTACGATGGTTTTGGATTTACAAAAGAAAATTTTGATAAAAAATTATTAAAAGTTTTCTTATATAAAAAGTTAAATAAATATTATTTTATTGAATTTACGATGTGAATAAAAACAATTTAATTATTTTCAGCAAAGGTTAGCTAAAAATTATTTTATCTAAGTTCAATTCAAATAAGAAACTTTTTAAGTAGGTGCATGAAGACTACCATGATTTTATTACAACACTTAACTTTAAGCGAAATCATTAAATATATCAGAAGTTTCGAGACACTGGTATGAAGTAATCGGGAGTTCAAAAAATTTATCATCTAAAACTTGGGTGAATGTTGATGACCAAATATCAGAGCCTTGTAAAGAAATTGTAGAAATTTTTCATAAATGCCAAAAAAATTATGAAAACTTTAAAATTATGATCGAAAATGGTTTAGAAATAATTTTAAATAATAAACAAATTTGGAAAAAACACAAATATTCAATCTTTTTAAAAAAACGATTCAATATCACGAGCTTCTAAATATGATTAATCATATAAATGATTTGGAAATTTTTGAAATGGATATTCAAGAATCTCAGAACATCGAAAAATCGACAAGAGAAAATTTTTATTTCCATGCTTATGCTTAGTTAAATTGTATTTTGGTTTCATGCCATTAAAGCAATTCAACCATTTATTGATTGTTGTTCAAATTTAAATAGCATTATCTTTGATGAAGTTAATTTAAATGAAACTCAACACCAAGAAAAAATAATAATTGATTTTTTCAAATATCAGCAAAGTTTGAAGAATCTTCAGATTTCTGTCAAAACTTTGAACATACTTTTTGTAGAATTTTACTCAATGAATTTTTCTTTAAAAAATTTTTCATAGATTATTCAAGGAATTAAAATGTGAAACATAAAGTCTAAAGAATTTAAATAATTATCGAAAAACAAGTATTTATGTTTCTTATTTACAAGAAGAAGTGTTAAATTATATTGTTGAAAGAAATAAAAGAATCGAAATAATTATTTATTGTTCTTGATCATTTAAAAACATTCCTAAATTTAGTACAGTTCAATTAGTAGAAAATATATTTTATATTGATAATTGCAATCTGTAAAAAAGGTTTTAAATTATTCAAATAATTTTTTTTTAATATTTATTTTTATTTTGATATATTTTACAGTTTGTGCCAATTATTGTTATAATTCTGATGGTAATCAAAATGAGTTATAATGGAAGCTTTTGATTTTTTTTTCTCCTATACAATGCCTTAAAATGCAAAAGTTCTTTAATGGCACATACATTTCTGTTGTTAATGTTTAACAGAATGCTGAATTTATAGTACGTTTGCTTTTTTCGTAATTTGTACTCTCGATATTACTATTCATATTTTGAAATTGTTTTTCTAAAATCAAATTGATGCTAAATGATCAAATATTTTGTTGAAGTAATTTTTCTATCCATTCAATAATTATTTAATGCTATATAAATATCACAGTTGTTTTTTCTTCTCAATTATAAACTTATGAATAATTTTATAAAAAATTATATCCTTTAGAAATAGTTTACTGATGTAATTGAAACTCAACTTTTTTTTAATGGTTTTGAAATTTTCGGAAAGAAAAGGTTAAATATTGTTTCATAAGTACTTAATAAACAAAGTGAAATTTAAGAACAACTAAAATTATTTGAGAAGTTTTTTAAGCGATTTGGTACATAAGTTAAAATATCTAATCAAAATTTATAATATTTAAATCATATACATGCAGTATATATATTTTTTTAAAAAAATACGTGAAAAGAGTTATTTAAAGGCACATATGAAATCTTTCACTATACAGTTGTTTCGCTTCTGGTAGTGTGAAGAGGTTGTAATTCTCTTTGAAGATCATTATAATAATCATGTTCTGAAATAGGCTCTCCAGAATTTGTTAATGGAATACCCAACGTTTGAGTAGGTAAAATTTCTGATTTGATTTGATTATTATTTAAGTTATTAAGTATGATATTATTATTATTATTGTTATTTAAAATTTGAAAATTGTTTTCCTTAATACTACCGCTAATTATAGCTATGTTCATAGAGTTAGAGTTAGAATTAAGTAGATATTCGGGATTATCTATTGCTGGGTGAGATAAGTCCATATAACCAGATCCTGTCCCTGGACCAGTTGGCATTAAGTAGTCATCTTCATCTAAAGGCAAGTCTAGACGTAAATTACCTATTCCAACTTCTCGACTTGTATCAGTCTCATCATCTCCATTTTTGAAAGGATCAGTGCAATATCGTTTAGGGTGATTGTCATTATGTTCATTAGTGTTAAATTCTATTTGTTGGCGAGATTTGGGCTGTAAGTATTCTTCGGCGTCTAAAACAGTGTTTCCAGATGTACTGTCTAGAGGAGCCAGTGTTCTTATTAGATCTTTTTCATCTTGTGTTGTATATGAAGGTAAGCGCATAAATTTATCTCCTGGAATGACTAAATATCTTCCAGGATCTCTAGCTTTTTCAGCAAAGGTTTCAGCTAATTGTTTAAAAGTAGGTCTAGCGTCTGCATCCAACACCCAGCACGACAGCAAAATGCAGTAAACATCAAGTGAACATATATCAGGCTGTGGTAATTTATGACCAATTTCAATTAAATCAGGAACATCTTTTGCTGGGATATTCTCATAAGGTCTGCCTCCATAAGTTAAAATTTCCCAGATTGTTACACCAAAAGACCAAACATCACTTTTGCTTGTGAATATTCTATGTCTTATGCATTCCAGAGCAAGCCATTTAATTGGCATTTTTCCACCAGCAGCACGATATGTATCTGAATCATAATCAAGCAGCTTGCTTAATCCAAAATCAGTTACTTTAATACATGATGGAGTTTGTACTAGAACATTTCTAAAAAATGAAAAAATATTTGTTTGAAGATTTAATAATAAAAATAAAAATTATAAGAAAAATAATAATTACCTAGAGGCTAGATCACGGTGCACAAGTCTTCTCTCTTCTAAATATGACATTCCCCGTGCGATTTGTGTCGACCAATTTAATAGAGCCTTTGAACCAATTTTATCTTTATTGCTTCTAACATAGTCTAATAAACACCCTAATGGCATTAATTGCGTAATAAGCATCATTTGTGATGTCATACACACAGCATGGAGTTTTAAGAGATTTGGATGTTCAACAGAGCACATTATGTAAGCTTCATCTAAAAATTCTTTACTTGACTCTGATCCATTGAGATCGGTTAAAACTTTAATAGCTACAGGAATTTTAACGTTTTCTCCTTCTGGAACCCAAACACCTTTATACACTCGACCAAATGCTCCCATTCCTAATATTCCACCTCTTCGTAATTCTGCTTCTTTTATAATGCGTAGTTTGGTTAGATTTGGTCCAACATTCGTAGGTCTTAATGGTTCAGAATCTTCACATCCAGCTAATACTTTTGACATTTTTACAACATCTTTTTTTGCTTTTGCTTTTTGACGGCACAAGTATGTCAAAATTATTAGAAATGCAAGTACAAGCCCTAATGTAATAAATATTACAATCAATAATGTTGGAACCCCAGCAGTTATCCTTAGTCCAAGATCGGATGAGCAATAAGGTCGAGATTTTATATCATTAGCTTCAGGGAAAATTTTATACTTGTATTTTGGAGGGCAAATTGATGTACAATTGAAAAATGTTGTATTGTGGTAGTGAGCATTTGGAATTCCATCATGAAAGATTTTAAAGTTTTTACAATCCACACAGTTATGGGGACCAGGTCCTCGACATCTTTGGCATTCGTCATGGCAAAGATCGCATGTTCTTGTTTCCTCATTTGCAAAATGATTGTCAGGACATTCTTCTTCACATTGTTCTCCTCTGCGATACCCTGCACATTCAGTACATACATTTTCATGAAAACCATATTGCGTACATTTTTTGCAACGAGGATGGCATGGTCTGCAAATAGATTTTCCAGCCATGTTCTTCAAAGATCCAGTTTCATATGGTGGAACCCATTCGTGATAAAATCGATCTGAACAAAATAATGAAAAATTTTAATTAACTATCTTATTACGTCTATACGGAATGTTTAACATTTTTAACTACCTGGACATGTTGCATTCTTTTTAAGACACTTCTGAATTGTTGTATTTGGATGAATAATAGCATGGTCACATTGTATACATCCATCATCCGATATTATGTTTCTAGGGCCTTTACAACCATTACAAGCTTCGTGACAATTAAGGCAAATTCCATCTTTAGGATATTTCGTATGAGAACAATCTGCAACACAATATTTTCCATCTTTAACATGAAGACATTCGTCACAGTCATCAGCATTTGGGCCCATGCAAGTTCCTTTGCATTCTGGATGGCATTCTCCACAATTTTTTTCATCGATTTGATAAATACTAAAATTTTTGATTTGGTTACAAAACAGATTATTTTAAAAAATAAAGTTCTATTCATACTTTTTAGTGCTTTTACAACTCGTTAAACATGTTCCTTTATATATGAAATTTTTACATTCTAAGCATTGATCAGATCCTTTTCCCCAACAACCAGCTGATGAGCATTCTTCAGAACATACTTCTTCTTCTGAATCTAATTATTTTAAGTGTTTTTTTTATTATTAGTTTAAAAATTAACTTTAATTGCTTTTAAAAAAATATTACCGCATTCTTCAACATCTCGATTTCTAGCTGAGACAATTTCATGATCTCTCGATTTCTTTATTTTATTCCAATCAATTTTATTTGCAAAGCAAAGATGTTTATTCTCCACAATTACAACAGCTCCTGAATTTACTCTTTTTAACGATTTCAATCCTAGTGATTTTAATGATGTCTAGAAATATAAAATTTTTTTTAAACATTTGTTTTTCATATTTTTATTCATATTGTTACCTTTACGATAAATAAAGAAGCAAATAGGTTTTCTTTTAGTTGTCTACCTCCAATCACTTCCAAATTTCTAAAGTATGATAAATTCGAAAAGTCTTCATGATAACCTTGAATATTTAAATAGCCCGTAATTTCTTTTACAGTTGAGAAAACTTCTAAACGATCTGGATGTATTTTTATAAAACGGGGTCCAAATGAAAAATTTGAATAGACTTGCTGATAACCAGTAAATGTTTGATCTAGGATTTCAAGGGATCCCTCTATTATTGTGCAATCTTTGTAATTGTCAATATTTCCTGAATGTACTATTCCTTCGCTATTACAAGTTTTTGGACATGGTCCATTGCATTGAACACATTCACCGTTTTTTGCCATTTTATTTGATGGGCATGTTCGCACACAAGCTCCATTGTCTTTGAGAAGGTGTTCTGGGCAATTTCTGACACATGTGGCACCATACGCATACTTTCCATGAGGATTTGGCTCCCAAAGATAATTTGTAGGATTATATATTTGCATGCTGGGGCATTCTTGTTTGCACTCGCCATCATCGTAAAAATTTTTACACGCTAAACAGTCTTTTTGAGTTGGTCCGGTGCAACCTCCAGCACAAAATAGGTGGCAACAATCTCTGGGCTTTGGTCCAAAACACCTTCCTTGTGAGCATTGTGGAGAACAATTTATTTTGCTAAACTTTTGACAATTTTCCGATCCTTCTCCCCAACATCCTTTTTCGCAACTAGAGTGACATGCTGGGCAATCACGTTCAGGTGAAGTAAAATTATAAGTATAGATGTTCGTTGCATTTGCCGCTATTTTTAAGGTTTTAAAACAAAATCTTTCTTAGTAATTAGAGAATAAAATTTAAAATAATGCTAAATTACCCGATAAAATTTCGTCCCATTGAATTGTTCTTACATGACATAGATTATAGTTGTTAAACATTCCTACTGATCCATTTAAGATATCCCTTAAAGCTGGTAGTTCTAATGTTTGCATTTGTGAAAATGAAACAAACAGTCCAAATTCATTTTTCCATACATTCAACTTAAATAAAGTTCGTCCTCTAATGATTTGTAAACGTGGTAATCTAACGTGTTCTACATCAACATGGCTTATTAATACATATCCCGTGACTTCTCTAATGTGTTGTAAGAAGCTTAAATCGTATGTATTGTTTTGTATCCACGTTATTTCGAGGTTTCCATCTACGTAAGTGCAATTTGTATAACGATCTTTGAGATTTTTGTAATGAAATTCTCGATTTGATGGTACTGACATTCTTCCATTAGTTCCAATGCATACTATAAATTAAATAAAAAAAATTGGTGTGAATATGAAAATTATAAATATTTTTTTTTTATTTTGTCTTTCCTCTACCCTAAACCCTCTTCTCTTATACGTCACAAGAGAAATATTTTATGATATCTTCATAATAACTCAAATAATCAATATTGATTTGCTAATTTGAAATTGAATTTGTGAGTTTTATTTACTATTTTTCTGCTACAGCAAGTTGATGCCAAATTAGTCTAATTTTGAAGTAATAGTTTTTCAATATTAATGTATTTTTTTCTTTTAAAATTGTAATCAGATTAAAATAAAATGATTTGATGTATGCGTATCAACGTTTATTTTATTACATATTTTGAATAACCATTTTTTTTACTTTGACTTTCGGCACTTTAAAGATTAAACAATTATGTGCATCATTTTTTAAACTTGCACGATTTCGACAAAAAAGTAAACTCTTATTATTTTTTGAAGTCGTGTTTCACGTTTTTCTTATTACCATTTATTTTGCTCTCTATCGTTTCGCTAAATATTATCTTTCGCCTTTTTCTTCATTTCTTGCTTTTCATGCAATATGTTAGATATATTATTGTGCATTTTTAATCTTAAAATGTTTGTATGAACAAAAGAACTACATTAAGTTTATAAAGTTGAATTTGAAAAAGTATAAAAACCATGAAATCCTTGTTTATTTTTCTTAATGACGATTTTAAGAAATTGAGGATGAATATCAGCTCTTCATGTTCTTGCATAGATAGAATTGAACACATTTACTCTTACATAAATGTTTTGAAAATGAAGAGAGAACAAAGAATGAGAGAATGAAGTAAAAAAAAAAGAAAGAAGAAATAAATGAAAAATCATCTTTCAAACTCACACAGTAGGGATTATGGAATTTTTTGAATTGACCTTACAGACTACATACCATTTTGAAGAGATGAGAACTTTTCTTAACATTTTTACATAATTATATATAAAGCAAAATTGCTTCTTTTTTTTTTATTTGACATTAAAATATTTGATTTAATTATTTTAAAATTAAATTTTAGCTATAGTATAAAGTATCAATAAAAATAAAGCTAATCTGATTGTTCAGAAATAAATTGATAAGTAAATATATTTACTAAAAGTAAAAATCATGTTAATAAGTTATTTCAATGTATTAAATTTTTAAAACACCTTAAGAATTCAACACTCAAACAGACAAAAAAGCAAATACTCATAGATGTGTGATGCTGAACATAAGCAAAAGCAGCTAGTTTGATCTTTTCTTTTTATTCTTCATCTTTCACAAATACAAAAAAACTTAAAGAATTCCATATAAATTGTTTTGTTGTTTATCCTTGTATTAGTAGCTGACTTTTTAGCGCATTTCAAAACTTATTTTCTAAAAGGCAGCTCAATAATGCATTTTGTTAGGCTGAATATATACTGTAAAATTTTAATTGTTTTCCGTGTAGAATTCTTTTGGTAATGTTAGTAAAATTTGAAATTTTAACTGGCATACCTCTCATTTCTCGATATAAGCCAAAGGTATAGTAGAGGTTAAACATTTTTGTTTCCCCTTTAAAAAAAGTTTAGTAAAGGGTTGAGGCTAGTAAAGAGGATATTTTTTTATTCAAACATATCTTGTTAAGTATTTTTTATTTGTTCACAATTAGTAATGTGTTTTTTTTTTTTTAAATTTTTGTTACTAAGCTTTGCCTAGTTTATTTATTAATTTGAATTTTAAATAGCCGGTAAAGGAAAAATAAACTTTTAACTGAACCTAATGTTTAATATGTGTAAAATACAGTAAGAAAGCTTTCCGCTGATCAATAATATGACGACTTTTTTTTAATTTTATTTGATATAAATAGGAAGCAAACATTAATCTATATTTTTTTAAAGATTTTGGAGACTCTTAAAAAAAATTAAACACATTCTTCCTTTAGCTCGAAAACTTTAGCTTAGAAAACTAGTTTTAATTAAAATCTTAAATTCATAATATCATGATCTCACACCATATCTATATCTATGTCTTTATGTAAAATAGATCAATAGATAAGAAGTATCAAGAGAAATGTAAGAAAAAAAATTCTAGAAAAAACATTTTAAGAATTTATAAACATCGATCTCGTGACTTATGTATTTTTGTAGTTATATGGAAAGAAATGCTGAACACATTTAGATTTATTTATTTTCCTTTTTCAGGACTTCATACTTCATTTGCTTTAAAATACCCATTCGTTTTAAAAAGTATATGAACTCATTGTATAATATTTCATTTAGCAATTTTTCACAATTGTGTAAATACTGTTTATTTTTTTTTGTCACGATTTTAGTTTGAATATGAAATCGAAAAATGTTTTCGTATTAATGTAAATACTAAACAATTTACTTCAATTTATGCTGTTAAGTTTTTTTTTGTTGATTTTTCACCTTTATCATAAATTTATCAAATATCAAACAACATAAATGTTTATCATTTTAAACAACAAAAAACAATTTTATTACGGTAGTGCTTATCAGTAAATTTTATTCTAGAGCGAAAATAAAAATAAATATCACATAGATGCTTAATTAAATAAAATTTCTTTTATGTATTTAAAAAATATTTTCTTATCAGTTACTGGCAATTGAGCATGTATATGTTTAAGAGAAAAAAAATCCGATTCATTGATTTCGTATTGTTCTTGTGAAATACCGTTTGATTTTATTAATATTTAAGCTTACTTTTCCCTTTGACGAATTCAGATTGACGTTCTTCTTGTGCTTGTTGTTTCAGTCTTTCACGATCTCTTTTATTTTGCGTTTTCGATGCCAGTAAAGGTAGAGGATTGACTAATATTATAAAAACTACAATGTTAAGGACAATCCCCAGTTTCATAAAATCGCACAACATTATGACATTATGCAACAATAAAAGCCTTAAAATTAGCTTTATTGAAGCTTTTAAAAAACGTTTGACACTCAATGTGATCAATATTTTTAAAAGTCATAAAAAACTATATTAAATTATTATTATTTTTTTATTTTCAATTCACAGAAGAGTCTATAATAAGTTTCAAAACTTTATTCTCACTAGCAGAACAAAAAAATAAAAACCACTTGTTATGAGTATTTTTTTTAATTGTATATGTGTTATGTATGTATAAAGCGATTTCTCATCTCATTTTAACACTTTTTTCAATATGAATTTTCAATAATTTGTTCACTTTTCTTCGTAAATTCAATCAATATTTTACGCAATTTTATTTCTTTACACAAATTTGTATTTTGACAATTTCTCACAAAATTCTTTTTTTTGAACTTTGAATCATTTTTACTTTAAAATTATTGTTTAATAAAAAAACTTAACACGACATGTACGATCAAACATCTCAACAGTTAAACTCTAACTAAAGCATTTCAGGTTATGAAGGTTTGCGCGATCCATCTATTCAGGTTTTTTATTCTCTTTATGAAATGTTGATGTATATAGGTGTATGCACATAAGAAACACCAACACTTTTGTTCATAAGAGCTTTTACCGAAACAAAATGGAATGTGAAAGAAAATCATTATTTCATGTTTTTTTAAATCTTAAATAAGATTTTATGTTGACTGTATTGGTTTCATGATATGTTTATAAATTATATCTTTGAAGAGGAAAAAAAAAATATTACACAAAAAGTAATCTTTATGGAAGAAAAGCATCTAAAAAAGAAGGTATATAATAGGATGAACAATACAAGTAATCAGGTAAGAAGATGCTTTAAAACTTCTTAGTTCTTTTCACATTTACAAGATATAAGCAATGTAAAGAGTATTGTTTTAAAATGCTAAATCATTTTTGCTTCTCTTTTTGGAGAGATTTTTTTAAATATTCATTCTTTAAAATGTTAAAACACATTAAAAATAACTTTTCTTTTTATATTTATCACAAATATAAACATCAATTAAAGTTTTCAGATTTCATTATCAATTTTGTAATTTTGATTTTGAAAATTGTATTGAAATGAAATGGTTGAAAGCATAAAAAATGCTACTATCATTATAAAAAAATTCTGATGAAAAAGCAGTTATGGACTTTATTAAAATCTGCAATATTGAAACCTGAATGTGGCTTATCAGTTAAGTAGCTTATTCACAAACTAAATGCTGTAGACAGAGCTTTATAAAAGTATTCCTATACTTATATGACCTATAAGTAGAAAGGCGATTTATATATTATAAAACGAATTGAATTTCAAACAAGAATTAAATACATAAACACGGATCGTCTCGTAATAGATGACAACGACAACGATGAACAAATACAGAACTTTTAATATTTTTCAAAAGAAGAATATTGAAGAATAAATTAATTAATTAGCATTCCTTCATTTTAAGAGTTGTAGATGAATTTAACTGCATTCTTTAAGATTAAGTGAGAAAGAAATATAAAATGCCGATATTTAGATATTTATAAATGCTTATAAATGCAAATAATTCAAAGCTAGGTTTTTTTATCGTACTCATTTAAATTATCAAAAAAAAAAAACAAAAACGTTTTGATGGTTTATCTTGTTTTTTACAAATATAATTGAAAATGCAGAGTAGTAAATTGTAAATTTTATTGAAAATATATTTTAAAATTTAAGATACAATGCACATTAAAAACACCTAAGACAAAAGTCATTAGTCTTATTTGGTACATTAAAAAATTAGTCAAAATGAACTTATTATAAATTTAAAAAGAACCACAAAAAGATTGATAGAAACCTTTCTTATGTCTAAAAGAAAAAGTGAAGTATTTATTAAAATTATAAATTAATAAATTCTTGCAAGGAGAACAACAGGTAGAGAAGTAAAGAATAGAAGAACGTATATATGATACAAACTGAGAATTGAAGAGGTTTGAGAGGTTCATAAAACTTTCTATTGTCTACTTCAGATGAATTTTACTATTATTTTTTTATAAAAAGAATAGTGTATAACCGAAAATTTTGTATTTTCTATTGCTATTTTATGATACTTTTAGAGATCATGAGAAGTTAAAATATTGTTACAATAGATTTCTTCTAAATAGATTCCTTTTATTTATATTAATATTTTATAGTTATAATTAAATATTTTAAAAATAATCAAATTAATATGTATAATATTAAACCAGTTTGTATTACAAATACTATCGTGATAAAATATTCACCTTATTTATGAGCTTTAACATTGACAGAAGATAATTTCTGAATTTTTTAGAAAAATTTCAGATGAATCTTAAAAAAATTGTAGAAAATTTACAAAGAATAAAGATTAATTTTAAAATTTGTACAGTAAATCATAGTTTTTAAGCGAATAGAAATCATGTTTAAATGTGCAAAAGTGTATGTTTAAAACCGGTTTGCTCACAAGAGTTTCATGAATATAGATGCTGTGAATCTTTGAGTATTGTTATTGTTGTATTATATTTAATTACTTAACCTCATAAGAATTAATCATTAAAAATTTAAGCAAGTGAAATAAAAATGTATTTGAAAGTTATCTATTTAATGTATAATTCAATCAATCATTTATCTAAGTAATAAACTTTACGATTAAATTATTTGTTGAAGACAAACGGTTTTCAAAATTTTAAATAAAAGCTTTTTTTAAAAGTTTTGTGCTTTACAAAATACAAATATAGTCACTTGACTTAATTGAGTATGCATTCAAGCGTTTTTTAACTTTCAAGTTAGAATCAAATATATTAAGGTTATGCTGTCTTAACCGAAAAACTTTTGTCTTTAAAAAAATTATTTCTAATAATTATAATACTATTCAAGTAAATTCAAAATTAGAAAAATAAAAAAATTACAAATTTTTATCATTAAAAAATATTCCTGTCTTTTGGTTCTACTCCATAATAAAAAAAAAATCCAAAATAAAATACAATTGAATTCATAACTTTGTTGAAAAAAGATGATGTTCATAATTATATGTAAGATCATGAACGTTTAAAAGTTAATATTGTCGGATGTTTATTTAACATCATAAAGCAATTGCTTTTAGAAATATAAAGTGAGTGGACACACAATTAGAAATTTTTATATTTTCCAAATTTCTCCCTTATTTTTTCATTAAACCTATTAAAGTTATATATTTTTGGAAAGCTTATCGAATTTCCAATATGATGATTAGAAAAGTTTTGGAAAATTTGCAAGTAATATAGTCACTTTATGTAAAAAACGCATTTTATATATGCAAGTTTTTAATGTTTTTCATTTTTCTCAGCAACGACTCTATGAAAAGCTTTCAAATTTTGCGCACTCATTGTTTATATAAATGTTAATAACTTGTATAAGTTTCAGAATTTTCCATTGAGTTTTTCACGAGTTTTCCTAGCCTGAATTTTTCACTATTTAAATTCATTTTTCTCGATAACTGCGCATTGTTATTAGTTGTTGTTCATCTTAATTTCTTTTATTTTTTAATAGCTTTCCATTGATATATAACAATCTGGGAAAAAGTATGAGACAAGAGAGAAATCAATAAAAAAGTGTGAAAAATGTATGAAAAATTTCAAAATTCTCCGCCATCTTGAATTTATTTTGCTTTTTCTGGTTAAACTAATTAAATTTTATAAAAGTGTTATACATTTTTGGAAAGGTCTAGCTTAGTGCTTTCATTCACTAGAAAATGCATGAGTCTACGATTAGCACAAGTAAAATTATAGGAGCTTGAAGTTGGTAAGAAAAAACAGCTCAATGTAAAGAAAATATTTTTTTTGTTTCTTTGACATTTAAGCTATAAGATAATGTTTTTTGGTTAGAATATATTATGAAACAACAAAATTTACCATTTTCATCCATCTAATAATAACAAAAAGCAGTAAATTAATATTTTTGAAAATTTGAAATTTTTTAACAGGTTTAATGAAAAAATAAGGGAGAAATTTGGAAAATATAAAAATTTCTAATTGTGTGTCCACTCACTTTACAAAACGGTAAAAAAATTTAAATTTAGACGCATAAATGCTAGTCCTCAGAAGCATTTTTTTTCTCGGCTTAGAATTTGCATAGAATCGATTTTTGCTTGTCACAGCTTTAAGATTTTACTTTTGCCTAAGCAGATCAATTCTGATCCAGAGGTGCGATTAAATACCCTATAAAGGAAGGCTGTGAGCTTCATTTCCAGTACCGAAGTACTATACAATTAACTAATAATTAGAACGCATTAAGGAGTAAACAATCAATTAAATTGTTTTTTGATGCAATACTCAAAGTGAATAGTTAAAGTAAAAAATTGACTTTTAAATTTTTGTGTAAAATTTTTTAAAACATTTGCAGTCTCTTTTATTTTATGTATTTGATCAAAAACAGCTATTTTTGAACTTTTTTAAATATTAATAGTCAAGAACTTTATATCAATTTAACACTTCAGAATTATAAATATTATTGTGTTGTCTTACTTTTGTCGGAAATGAATAACGGAAAATAATGTGATACAGATTTGATTTAAAAGGAATTTTTTAAGTAGTATACAGTAAGTTTTCCATATGGAATCAGAGTTGTGTTTGGTACTTGAAACAATATATTTGTTTACACAATTTTTTCTATTTTTGTTTTCATTCAAAAAAATTATTTAACAATCAGAATTGAATAATGTTATATTTATTTATTGTTTATATAGGTACTATAAATATCTAATTCATTGAAGTTTAATTTTCTAATCAAATAATAAAATATTTTTGAGTAGTATTTTTTTAAGAGATCACATGTTGAAGCAGAACTTTCTTTCCAGAATGGGGTATGCACAAAAGGGAAAACACATGTTTAATGAAATATTCTCACGCATTTGTGCATAACGGTATTGAAAATTCTTAGCGAAATAATTTAAGATGCAAAATTAATGCCTTTATCTTTTCTTATTTAAAATTATTTGTTTACTGAATTCAGCAGTATGTATCATGTCAAAAATTTAATAAACAATCATTTCTTTGAATACCATTTCACTTTAAATATTTGTTTTATCTGAATAAGCAGTTATAATTTTTAGATTAAAAGAATGGATTTGTTATTTTAATCAACTTCTTCCAACTTTACGTATTTTATAAATCTCATATCGAGATAAA